TAAAAAAGAAGGTGGAAGTCTTTTGTGCATAAAAAAACATAAATAAATGTGCAAATGAGGATAAGCATACACTGTACATGGGACAGTTAAGAGATCAGCCTGACATAAAAAGAGCCTTATTGAGCCAAGAATGGGGGAAGAATTGGGGGCTGGAAGAAAGCCTAGAATTTTAGAATCGACAGTGTTTCTAAAAAGTCTTAGAAGCGTACATGGACTCAAAGTAATTGGTAATAGGAGAACACTGGAGATTGCTAATCGAAATGATGCTCCAGAAAGTTATTCTGTGGCACTATGAAGGGAGATCAGCCTGGATATTAGCAGAAGCCTTAAACCATAGTGGCCATTATAACAGTTTCGAAACCGTGAAAAATTTAAAATTGATATGCATTTAAAAATAGATTTACTTAAGGAATTAGGCAAATTTAAGAGACATTTATTTTTAGGCTAGAATGTCAAAACTTTACCCAAACACACTTTCTTATTTATAAAAATCTTATTCAGTCTTCAAGACCCAACCAAGTCTTGCCTTGTCCTCAAAGCATTTTTTGTTTTCATTATTCCTGTTATCATCGATCTCTTTTGACTTTCCAACAAACTTAAGCCAGTACCAAATAACCTAAAACTAACCTACATAAAACAATGCTAACGAGTTAAATGCTGTCTCCCCAACTACATTTTACTCCTTGATTTTAAGACCATGACAATGCAGACTGTGTCTTTTCCTTCTTCTGTAAGTTCCGTAGTACCTCTCATAGGACAGAAAATAGAGGAGGCACTCAAACGGTACAGTTCATGATTCCCACCCATGGAGCTGACAGCTTTATGTTCTCTTTCCCTGGAGTGGAAAGTCTACTTTAGCATACTTACCTATTTCAATTTTACAAGCAAGAATGCTGTTCTGGGTATAGGGAAGTATTTCTTCAAGAACACTGAAGGTCTGAAAATCCCAGAAGCCATCAGTACTCAAGCCAGCAAAAAACTTGTCATTTTTTATATCTGGTCTTCCTCCTCTCCAATTTATGTATGACAGCATGGTCTTATCAGACCACAGAAGAGAATTATCTAGGGAAGAAAGAGTTTTTCTATGTTTAGAGATTAAATGAAGACTTGAATTATAGTTAATATTTCAAACTCAACCGATTCTCTTTCTTCTTTACCTACTTTCTAAAAAGTTTTATGATTATGTATATCCCTTTAAAATATTTTCTGACCATAACAGGAAATCATGCTTATATTTAATTTGGAAAGTACAAATTATAAACATAAAAATTAAACTTATAATTTCACCATCCTGTAATAACTTTATGTTTTGTTATTTTTTAAATCAAATTTTCATTTCTTCTGTACATATGTTTAATTGCAATGAAAGTGAATATAATTATTTTATTTAAAAATTAACACATTACAAAACTAGTGATAGAAATCTCTTCTCTGGACCTAAACCATACACAATTGTGCACATTTATGTCAACTAATTTTTGACAAGGGTGCCAAGACAATTCAATACAAAAGAGTAGTCCCTGGGACCACAGGATATCTACATGCAAAAATATATATATATGATTTATATAAACATATATATATATACATAGTTATATAAATATATATAACCATATATATAAACATATATATATACATAAGTAAACACATTTATATGTGTATATGTGTTAGACCCTTTCTTTTTACCATACAGAAAATTAACTCAAAATAGATCATAGACCTAAAGATAAGAGCTAAAACTATAATACTCTTAGAATAAAACATAGGAGTATTTCTTCATCACCACGGGGTAGGCAAAGCATAGATATGCATAAGTGATAAGATAAATTGGACTTCATTAAAATTAAAAAGTTTTGTGTGGGGCGCCTGGTTGGCTCAGTTGGTTAAGCGTCTGCTTTCAGCTCAGATCATAATGTTGGGGTCCTGGGATGGAGCCCCGAGTCAGGCTCCCTGCTCGGTGGGGAGTCTACTTGTCCTTCTCCCTCTGCCTCTCCCCCACCCCTTCCCCACTTGTCATCTCACTTGCTCTCTCAAATAAATAAATAAAATCTTAAAAAATAAGTTTTATGCTACAAATTCTACTATCAAAGTGATGGTGGGGGACACCTGGCTGGCTCAGTCAGTAGGGCTTGAGACTCCTTTTTTTTTTAAAGATTTTATTTATTCATTTGAGACACAGAGATACAGAGAGAGAGAGAGAGAGCATGAGCAGTGGGAGAGGCAGAGGGAGAGGAAGAAGCAGACTCCCCGCTGAGTCAGGAGCCCGATGTGGGACTCGATCCCAGGACCCTGGGATCATGACCTGAGCTGAAGGCAGACGCTTAACCATCTGAGCCACCCAGGCACCCCAGGGCTTGAGACTCTTGATCTTGGGGTAGTGAGTTCGAGCTCCATGTTGGGTATAGACCTTACTTAAAAAAAAAAAAAGTGATGGGAGAAAATATTTACAAATCATTTATTTGACAAGGAACTTATATCCAGAATATATAATTATAACTCAACAATAAAAAAGACAAATAATTAAAAAATGGGTAAATGATCTGAATAAAGTTTTTTCCAAAGATGATATATAAACAGCCAAAAACACATGAAATCATGTTTAATATCATTAGTCATCAGGGAAATGAAATAAAAATAAAATAAAAACCTCAATTAGATACCACTTCATACCTACTAGGATGGCTACATCAAAAAAAAAGAGATAAAAACAAGTGTTGGCATAAATATAGAAAAATTGGAAGGTGTGGGAAATGGTATAGCAGCTTAGGAAAACAGTATGTTAGTTCTTCAAAGGGTTAAAAAAAGACCCAGCAATTCCTCTCTTAAGTATATACCCAAGATAAATGAAAATATGCATCCACATAGAATGCATGTGAATGTTCATAGTGGCATTATTCACAACCAAAAAAGTGAAAAGAATCTAAACGTCCATCAACTGATGAATGGGTAAATAAAATATGGTATATCCATACAATAGAATACTATTCAGCCATAAAAAGGACTGAAATACTGACACGTACTGCAGTGCTACATGCATAAGCCATTACGCTAAGTAGAACAAGCCAGTCACACACACACAAAATCACATATTGTATGATCTCACTTATATGAAATGTCCAGAATGGGCAATCTGTAGAGTCAGAAAATAGATCAGTAGTTGCTGGGAGTTGGGAGAAGGGATAGGGAAGAAGGAGGAAGTGCTAATGGGTATGGTGTTTCTTTTTGGGGTAGTGATTGTGTGGTACGGGAATATATCAAACTTTCTGTAAAAATAAGTTGCTAGGCCTATTAAAATGATGAATTTGCATAAAGAGTGATGTCACTATAAACTACACATACCCATTGTTGTCCTGGTTATTTGTACCTTTCACTGATGACCATCTTCCAAGGCGGTTATACCCAAACATCTGCCTGCAGCAAAGACATGCTAGAAACACTGTACATGTGATCTGGTTCCTGCTCACTGCTTCATATCACCTCCTGTCTCCCAGGCCCTCTTTCCCTCTCCCCAAACATTAACTGACAATTTTCTGGCCAGTATGATGGACGAGGGTGTATTCCTAAAGTTGCTATACAAAAGGGCCACTTTTTCACTTAGTTTGAAGCATCTTTTAGTCGACAAGTGGCTTCCCTTAGTAGTTTCTATTCATGGACCTACTTCTGAAAAGTCAGAACTTTTTTTTTAAATTTAATTTTATTATGTTAATCACCATACATTACATCATTAGTTTTTGAGGTAGTGTTCCATGATTCATTGTTTGCGTATAACACCCAGTGCTCCATTCAATACGTGCCCTCCTTAATACCCATCACTGGGCTAACCCATTCCCCGCCCCCAAAACCCTCAGTTAGTTTCTCAGAGTCCATAGTCTCTCATGGTTCGTCTCCCCCTCCGATGTGCCCCTCTTCATTTTTCCCTTCCTACTATCTTTTTCTTTTTCTTTTTTTTTTTTTTACGTATAATGTATTATTTGTTTCAGAGGTACAGGTCTATGATTCAACAGTCTTACACAATTCACAGCACTCACCATAGCACATACCCTCCCCAATGTCTATC